GTGATCTGGTATTAAACACATTATTTTACTTACAGGTCATTAATAAATGGCCTTTTTAAATGAAAAGGAGTTGTTCATCTCTTAATCCTTATCATCATGAATTTTTTTGTGGAAAACAGTGCTGAGGATTGAACCAGGGTACTTTACCACTGGGCTATATCTTAAGCTTTATTTATTTGTTTGTTTGTTTCTTTGTTTGTTTATTTATTACATTTGAGACATGGTCTCACTACGTTGCTGAGGCTGGCCTTGAACTGAGAATTCTCTTACCTCAGCCTCCCAAGTCCCTGTGCCCAGCTCTCCTAGCTTTTAAAAGGTCTGCTTGCCTCTCTTTTTAAAGTCTCGCCAATTTATTCTTTTTTAATATTTATTTTTTAGTTTTTTTTTTTAGGTGAACATAATATCTTTATTTTGTTTCAATGTGGTGCTGAGAATCAAACCCAGTGCCTCACACATGTTATGCGAGCATGCTACCACTTGAGCCACATCCCCAGCCCCTAGTCTCACCATTTAAATAGCCTCTTAATTTCTGCTCTGCACTACCTCTTGAAAGGTTTGTGTCATTTCACAGCTTCATGTTACACTCAAGGCTGCTATTTCTGGAGGCAGACCAAAGCATCGTTCACTTGATTTTTTTTTAAGGGAATTTTTTTTTAATATTGTTTAGTTGTCCATAGACCTTTACTTTTTATTTATTTATATGTGGTGCTTCACACATGCTAAACAAGTGCTCTACCACTGAGCCACAGACATAGCCCCTAGTTCCTAGCCACTTGATCTTGATCTTGTTATATAGCCCCTCTGTTACTTGGTTACTTCATCTGTGAAACAGGCATAAGGGTAGGATTGTTGTGGGATCGAAACATCTAGTAGAGTGTCTAGCATACAGTAGTACTTAATGTGGTATTTATTAGTATTAGGTTTTTTATTCTGTTGCCATTTTTATTGCTTATTATTAAAGCTAAACTCATTATGTCTCCCCCCAAACTTAGACTTTATAAGTTTTCTAGGCAGACAAATAATTCCACTGCCTTTCCAGATTAATACATTCAAATCATTGGAATCACCTTGAATACCTCTGAAGTGACCAAGTCCCTGTTACTCGGCAATAGTTGTCTACTGTATCCTTTATTTTTGGTTCTCTAATTTAAGTCAGTGCTATAATTTATTGCACACTTACAAGATATACCTTAATACTGGATTATTCACAGTTTCATATAATTAGCTATCTTAAGAGCATATGCCATCTACACTTCAAAACCAGCAAACGAAATCATATGGCCATAGGAAAGGAGTCACATGAAACACTTCCCTATCCTAGGCTGAATGAACATTGCCCTCCAACCTCTCTCTATACAAATTCTCTTTGCTCACGGTCTAATTGACCCTCCCCTATTCTTTTCTCTCCCCACTCCCTTTTTCAATTATTTCAAAATTTTCTTGTAGCAGTTTTGGGATGAAACCCAGGGCCTGATACATGCTAAGCAAGTGATCTACCACTGAGTTGCATCCCCACCCCTGAATCTTCAAATTTTCACCTCACTCAATTCTCACTTCCTTATTGTGGGCATGACCTTTTGGGGCATCTACTCAAAAGGCATCCTACAAAACATGCCTCCCCTCTCATAAGCACTTCAAAAAACTCATGCCAATAAAAAGAAAATCAACAATGTGTCTCTGCAGAGTAAAGATCCAAACCAGAATACCTTCCCAATGTGAGTGGTCATAAGGAGTCACAAATAGATGTTGAGTCATTGCTGTTTTCATATATATGCTAATGTGTGTACATAACAATAAATAAAGCTGTCAAAAAGAGTACAGACTGTATTTTTTTTCTTTTTTATTTGGACAGCATTTATTTCAGTAAATTAAGAAGTATGGTCTTTGGCCTAGAATAGCCCAACATCATATTGTGTTCACAAAAGACAAGACATACACTTTATAAATTTGACCTCTAAACTCTTACAACAGTACACAGATTAAAACAGTGGTTTTTTCATACCTCTTCAAATACGCAATATGCTGACTTATTATATACACCCACAGCTAACCTTCTAAAAAAAGATACCCAATCTATGCTTAAAGTAATCAAAGAGAGCCATGCATGAATAACCACACAGACCTGATTTCTACATTTTTACAAGCATTTCACTAAAATGTTAAAGGTATGCAAAAATATATTGGCATGATTATTGTATATATAACAGGTACAATAGGGAAAATAACATATTTTAACTATAATATGAATTTTATAACAATCTATTCTGTAATCCTACAGTGTAAACCTTACCAGAACCATCAAATTCTCTATTTTTGGATAATGGGGGTATGGATTTGAAGGTCTGATTTTAGCTGGGAAAAGGATATACTATAACAAGTCTAATGACTAAACAGCTGCAGATTCTAAAAAGAATTTTATATTATTCTGAGTTAGGTACTAAATTATGCTTTAAATTTTCCATTCGGTGATATCGTTTTTAGACGCATAAAAGGAAAAAGCAATAATACTTAGAAAGCTGGTCTGTGAGTTCCTCATTTAGTGAAGGGCAGCAAAAAGAAAATTTTTAGATGCAATTTCATTTACAATAACTTTACAGGTGTTTGTTTAATATTTTTTTAGTTGTAGATGGACACAATACCTTTATTAATTTTTTTATGTGGTATGGAGAATCAAGCCCAGTGCTTCACATGCGCAAGGTGCATGCTCTAACACTGAGCCACAACCCCAGCCTCCCCGGGAGGTTGTTTTTTAAACAACTCTACTCTTCTGTTTCTTCAGACAGGCTATAAGCCATATCCATATAAAGGGGAGGGGGCCTATGGTTTGTTCATTTTTTTACCTCCTATAGCCCTAGTAATCAGAGTTCACATTCAGAGTTGGTTTCCCAAAGGCTGAGAATATAACAACCCAGCTGATACAGCACTTGCCTAGCATGTGTGAGGCCTTGGATTCAATCACCACCACCACCACCCACCCACCCACACACCCAAAAAAATAAACAAAACCCAGAGTTGATTTCCCAAGAGCAGAGATGTCCATTCTCATCCACATTCCTTTGGAGCCATCTTGCCAGCATTAACAGTATGCATCATGAGAAGCAAGTACATGTGATAACCGTATGTTAACAAATAAATGAAAACAATATACTTAACTAATAAATTTTATTTTTACATGAAAGATAGAAGAAGAGCTTAGATAAAGGCAAAAGGAAGTATCTACATATAGGACAAAGTATAACAAAGACTAAGACAAAAAAATTAGGCTATATGCATTATATATACTGATATATATGTATATGCATGTGTGTGTGCATGTATATATTAGAAATGCATATATGTCAGAAATACCTAGGGTTTTTTTTAAATATTTTTTAGTTGGAGATGGACACAATATCTTTCTTTTATTTATTTATTTTTATGTTGTGCTGAGGATCGAACCCAGGGCCTCATACTTCTAGGCTCTACCACTGAGCCACAACCCCAGTCCCAGAAATCCTTAGGTTTAATCCCCAGATTAAGAATGGAAGTTTCATTGCCAGAGCTATAGTGTAAAAAGAAGTATTACGTTCATGAGTCAAAAGTTGACTTGGAAACTAACAGCCTAAGTAACATACCCACAGGAATTGTACATTTTTTTTATAAGCTTCAGAAGTTTATTGTAACTGAAGGCAACTTATCAAAACAATAGTATTTCATTAGAGAGTTTTCCATTTGCTTAATCTCAAACTGCAGTAATACTTAACAAGGTACACAAGGTACTATATTTATTTTGATTACATTTATAATTTTAAATTCTTAATCATCTTTAATCAGGAACCAATAAAATTCAGACAATTTCTGAGCATTTTCTGGCAAAGAGATCTTCAGATAAATACTGTCAATATAAAAATAATCCAAACACCCAATTACAATAGAAGTCAATGCATTGATCAAAAACACTAAGATATATTAAATGTCATGAATCCTTAAACCCAAAAGGTAGCTTGAATTCTGTACAAAAGAAAGAGCAAATATAGAAATATAACATTTTTATTTACACACATATTATAAATTACTTCAAGTTTAAATGTTTTAAGTTAAATTGTTAAATTCATCTCAGACACGAATTATATCATTATTAAAATCAAATTATATCCAAAATAACATGAGTTCAAAAATTAATACTTAGACTAGATACATCATAACAGAAAACCATTTAACCTAATTGTTACAGTTTTAACACTGGCCATCTTAGTTCCTCAATAAAACACTCACTTAGTAACAGTTATGTAAACTTCAAATAACTTTCCTGAACAATTTGTGATTATTATCACAGTCAAATAATCTATAAGAGAGGCTGGGATTGTGGCTCAGTGGTAAAGCGCTCACCTAGCACATGTGAGGCCCTGGGTTTGATCCTCGGCACCACATAAAAATAAAATAAAGCTTATTGTGTACACTTACAACTAAAACAAATATTTTAAAAAATCTATAAGATTATCACAAGGCTGCTCAAGGGTCCTCAGCTAGCAGCAACCAGTAATTATAATCATATACTATCATCACAAGCCCCAGCTCATAACCAAATATATATCTACTACCCTTAAAAATTTGGATTCAAATCTATCAAGTAATGTAAGTTACTGAGTCTGCATGAAAAATACTAAATAAAACACCTCCTTGCTCTTAAGTACTTGAATGTGAATTAAATCTGGAACTACCTGTTTTTTCTGCCTATTCTCCAGCTTCTTTTTTCTTCCCATTAAGCAGTTTTTCACCTACATATCAGTTGGCTCAAAAAATAGCATGGGATTACAAAAAGCTAATTATTACTTACGTATGAGGATCAAGCTTATCCAAAAGTCATCTCTTTTTCTGGTTCACATATCAATTCTACTTCATTAAGCGTCATCATCATATGCAGACAGTTTTAATTATATGCCCATGTATACAGAGTACTAAGTTACTTTCAAACACTTTAAGCATGTACAAATATTTTACTAATAAAACTATGTACTTGCCTTGTGTCTGCATTTAAGTACAACTCCATAGGCTCCTATAATAAAAACAGAAGTAAACAATCAGGGGCATGTATACAAACTAAAGCTCTTTAAGAAATTAAACTCTACTATATTTATATTGCTGATCAGGATATAACAATAACTAAAATCACAATATTATAGACTAAAAATATAATAATGAGCTACATATAGATAGAGCATGGATACCTTAGTATATTTTATTTTAAATAAACCTCTCAAATGTTTCTCTTATAGAAAACTTTATTCAAGATATTTTAAAATTTAAGCTTAAACATTTTCAGAGATAAGATTGGATCATAAGAACTCTTGTGAGTAAATGAAAATTAACTTCGAAGGTTCTAGGGAACTTAAAACCTAGAAGCTACTAACTTCCAAGAGTAAGTTCCAGCACAGAGCCTACCCAAACATACTATGTGTCCTAGGAGTCACTGAAACCTGCTTCTATGTTACTGGAATCTCTTCAGACTAGCAAAATAGTACAGGTCAGGGCTGGGGTGCTTGCATGCATAAGCCCGGGGTTCCATCCCCAACACTACACACACACTACACACAAAAATACTATAGATCTCAGCATTCCAACTAATGACTAGTGGGAGTTGCTACCTTTTTGCCATGAAGTGTCAGCTTAAGGGCATAGGCCACTCCCATTCCCACTTTCTTTCAAGTATTTTGATGAGGTTTTTTGGTTTTTGTTTTAAGTTGTAGATGGACACTTTATTTTGTTTATTTTTTTGTGGTGCTGAGGATTGAACCCGGTGCCTCACACATGCTAGGCGAGCACTCTACCACTGAGCTATAGCCCAGCCCTTGATAAGGTTTATTTTTGACCTTTCAGTGACTAAACCCATTATCTAGGCAATAAACTTAATTTCTTAAAGGCAGAACAGAGAAAATATTGTGCCAACAAGGTACTCAGGAAACTGACATTAAAGTTAAAATGTGAAAGATCCAATAAAGAATCAAAATGTAGCCAGGTGCAGTGGCCCACACCTATAACAGTGGCCCATGAGCAACTCCAAAAGCAGAGGCAAGAAGATTCCAAGTTTAGGCCAGCCTTGGCAATTTAGCAAGGCCCTCAGCAACTTAGCAAGACCCTGTCTAAAAATAAAAAATTTAAAAAGGGCTGGAGATGTGACAATGTGGTTAAGTGCCCCTGGGTTTGATTTCCCACTACAAAAAAAAAAAAAAAATCAAGTGTAACAGAGCTTCGAAGAAACATCAAAAACATTGGCATTAGCAAACAGGCAAAACCTGTATGCAACTATGAGAAGGGAACTTCCAATAGAGGCTAGGGGACCTAAAACCTCCCTCATTTTGATGGAGATGGAGGAAACTTATTATCAGAATTAAGAAACCAGCCAGGAGAACCAAATTAACTCCATATCACCTGACATCAACCAATCTTCACCATCAGCCCATGCCAGGTATTCTTGTGAGGTGGAAATGTGCTCTCTAGGCTACAAAGATGTAGAGTTTTTTTTGACAGAGTTTTATAAACTTCAAATATAGGTATTTCTTAGGGGGAAAAAAACAAGTAATTTACGAAGAAAAAATATGTATAGCAACTAAGGTTCTGATTATAACAAGTTAATATTCTAACTGAAACAACAGTCTCACAATTTTGGTTAATCTGAACCAATACCTGGGAAGATTATTACCTATGGGTGTATTGAGAAAAACAAGGTTATGATCCAGAAAAACTTAGGCCCAGAATGTAGAACATTCCAATCTTGTTATATCCTATGTGCTGACCTTCTCCAGTCAGAAGCCCCATTGCCTAAATCTATAATTGTAATACTTTGAAAAATAAAATTTTAAAAGATAGCTGTCATAAAACAGATGAGATTGAAAATGAATTTTATTTATATGATTAATACCAACATGGGGCTGGGGTTGTGGCTCAGTATTAGAGCGCTTGCCTAGCATGAGTGAGGCACTGGGTTCAAGTCTCAGCACCACATAAAATAAATAAAGGTCCATTGACAACTAAAAATATTTTTTAAAAAATGATTAATACCAACAAAGAAATGAAAAAGAAGTTAGTGAAGGAAGAAGAACCCATTTTTTTTTATGTTTTCAACTTCAGACCTTGAAACAAGTATCTAATGACTAGACGCTAATTTGTTTCTGTTTATTTGAAAAAGATTTACCAACTTGATATTAAAATCTTGAACAGCTTTGCTTTTCACATAAATTTTTAAAACTTCTTTTGAAATTCAGTTTCTTTGAAAAAATCTAAAATATGAAATTTCTATAACATTTTCTTTAAAGATAAAAATGCTAAGAAACTATAATTATAATCACTTATCTTCTTAGAGCAAAATCATTTATCAAAATTTCCATAAAGTTACCTCTAAGTCAAGAGCAAGAATTACCAAGCAGGAAAAATTTGGGAAGAAATGATGATTTTTCTAGGAGACAATTTATGAAAAATGAATTATCAAGCTTCATCAAATCAGTAATATCATTGGTTAAAAGCATTATTTTATATACTACTAGAAAAAAAAAGGTATTTCTAATTAAACCATGTGTACTACTGATTATAGAACACATCCTGATTTTAGAGATATTAAAATATGACCAAACACTGCCTGAAAATTTATAAAATGTGGTTTGTCATTCTCAAAGAAATAGAAGTTATTTGTTTATTTACCATGTATTGAAGTCCAACATTTATAAAATATTTTAAGTTATTCAAAATAACTTAGTTGATATAAAAATGAAATGTAACTATAAATATATACATATACACACAAAGGAAACTAATTGCTAACGAAATGAATGAAATGAAAGTAGTCTTAAATTCTTGATTTGTTTAAACTTTAAAATGTTTTAAAATGGTACTGACTTTCTTTCTTTCTTTCTTTTTTTTTTTTTTTTTTCTTTTTCATCTTTCATTCTTTGGTCCCAGGGATTAAACCCAGGGGCACTCAACCACTGAGTCACATACCCAACCCTTTTTATTTTTTATTTTGAGACAGGATCTCGCTAACTTGCTTGAGGTCTCACTAAGTTGCTGAGGCTGGCTTTGAACCAGCAATCCGCCTGCCTCTACATGCTAAGATGCTGGAATTACAGGCATGGGCCACCATGCCCATTGTCATGAACTTTCAATTGAAAAGTAAGACTCAAATTGTTTAAGTGTTAATTGTATTTTTAATATTTTACTCTTAGATTTATATCTGAATTGAGAGAGGTTAAATTAACAGGATCTGAATATGTAAAATTTTTGATGGTAGGCATAATTGTACATTAATCAAAATCTCAAGGAATGCAAAAAATAAAAATCAAGGAATATAAAAATTTCAACTTACCTTCACCTACAACCCCAAGGATCTCAAATTTATTCATCACATTACCAATGTTAGGAATCTTCATGAAGACAAACTCCTCTTTTGATGTAAGCCACAGAACATGGCACCAAAAAAAAAAATTTCTAAGAAATTTATGCAGTAAGTGGAGGAAATAATATCCAAAGGAAAAAATTCTCAACAGTTGACAGGAATTTTCACATATTTGTTCTAATAATGAAGCATTAAATGAGTTCCTGAAAGAACAAACACAAAGGAAAATCATCAGTTTTATGTTGCAGTACTCTGTCACCTTTATGTACAGTGTTTTTTTAATATTTTTTAATATTTTTAATATTTTTAATGTTTCATAATGCTAAACAAAGAAGAAACAATAAGAGGGAAGAACCCAAAATGGAATGAACCTCAAGATATGTGAATGAGTAATATAACCACACTAAAGGGGACCAGAGACAAGGGAGAAAGAATTAACCCCAGGTAAATTTTGAAAATAGTACCTACTGTCCTCAAACTGAAACACAAAGAAAACCGCACAATTTTGTATTCCACCACTTAAATATCTGTTTTTATTACACAGTGAGATGAAACTTCTTTATCAGTATCCTAGGATTGAGTAAATGAGTAAATACATTGTAGATAATGAGATCTTTGTTTCTTACTCTCATGTAAGGGAGCTATGAATATGAAAAGGGAAAGGCTTGGAGTTGAAGTTAATGATATTAAGCTCACTTTGGATTTTTTTCCCCTGCTTTCTTAAGCTCAATTTTTAATATCTACAGCTGTAGGAGAATGCTCCAGCAGACTGCCTTCAGTCATCATCTGCAACATAGGCTCTTCCTGGAGGCTTCAGACCTTTAGACTCAAACTGAAACATCCACTCTCATGGGCCATCAACCTGCTGGCCCAGTTTTAGACTTGGACTTGTCAAGCCCCATATAACCGGGTATAAGCCAAATAATGTTAATAAAGTAATCCCCCACACACATTCTGGAAAGAGATATATTCTTATATGTACACATATAAATGAATGTGTATGTATATATTCATACACTCATATTCAAGTTATGGACCCATATAAGAAAGAATATATTCTATGTATTCTATTTCTCTGGAAAACCCTGCGGCAGTCTGGCTGGGCACAATTCAGGAGCCACTTGTCAAAAGAAATGAACTTTATTTTTAGAACCACACAGGCCAAACAAAACAGCTCCTCAGGAAAAACCTTCAGAGCCCAACTGCCAACACAGGCTTCCCACAAGCCTCTCAACCTCCCCCACTCCTCCTGCTCTTGAGGCCGATTGGCTGGGTCGTGTGGGCGGAGCCAAAAAAGTCCCCCAATGAACAGCTCTGTGGTCTGAAAGGGCAGGGAAACAGCCCAATGAGCATCCACAGAGGAGCCAATCAGTTGGCAGCTAGAAGTTTGCTGGGGCTGCTGTGAGCCAATCATCAGCTGGCAGCTGGAAGTTTGCTGGGACCCCTTCGGCTGTGGCTCTCAACAAAACCCTAATACAGTCAATAACTTTTTTTCACTAACAAAAAAAAAAAGAAAGAAAAGTATCTAGAGCTGTAACTGTAAATGCTTATACACTCATATACATATATATTCCTTAGCTGTCCCCTGAGAGGTTCTAGAAACAATGACACCCCCAATAACCACAAGCACAGCCAGTGCTCCAATAAAAGGTCCCACAGTTCCTTGGAGAAATAAATGGCTGATTCCAAGGTAAGAGCAAGAAAAGTACAATATGATCCTAAGATATATTTTTGTGGTGCCAGAAAGTAAGGAAATGCTCAAAGAATGATGATGGCATATCAAATGGACACAGGAATCTGATTAAAATGACTCCCACTGGACAAATGGGTAATATTTTTTAAAAAGTATTTATTTTTTAGTTGTAGTTAGACACAATACCTTTATTATTTTTTTACTTATTTTTATGTGGTGCTGAGGATTGAACCCAGAGCCTCACACATGCTAAGTGAGTGCTCTACCTCTGAGCCACAACCTCAGCCCAAATGAGTAATATTTGAGCAGCAAAATAAAGATATTTACAGATTATAATCCAGAGAATAAAATAAAAATGCATAAATCCTTAGTGACATAAATAAATGGGGAAGGAAGGAAAGTTCTTTTGTGGAGTATAATCCCAAATAATAAAAAGTAGTGATAGAATTAGAAAATCACCATTTGGCAATCACTCTTGTAATAATTATTTCAGGCAACTAGCACCAATATGCACTAAAACTCGTAGTTGAAAGTTTACCAGAAAATAGGGTATTATCTAGTCTCAAAGCATCTCCCCCACAAGATGTCTATTAATTACAAAGGGAAAAAATAGTAATTTCATAGTGAAGGATCCTGCCAGACCCAACCTTAAGCAATCAAACTTATTATCAACAATAAAGGAACAAACAAACATTATATGCCTCCTGATAGGATGCATCACACCACCAGTTCTGTGGCATCACAAGATACAACAGACAAGCCTAAGCCAAGAAACATTCTATTAAATAACTATCCAGTATTGTTTAAAAACATTTTCTATCTGTTCTATATCAAAGATTAAAATACACGATAAATAAATAAAATGCACGATCCTGGATTAGATTCTAGACAAGAAAAAAAACAATTATTTTTGTTATAAAAGCCAACTGACAAAGTCTAAATGTCTATACATTAGATTACAATATTGTATCAAAGATAATTTTCTGTGGCTGTAGAAAATAATGGTCTTGTTCTTAAGAAATAGCACCAAAGCTTTAGAAGAAAAATGGAGCGTCATATTTGCAACTTAAACCATTCATTAAAAAAAATACGTAAGTGTGGATGGGATAAAAGAGAATGAGAGAAAAAATAATCAGTATAATAAAATAATAAAAGAGCAAATACAATAAAATGTTAACATTTGGAGAATGTGTGCTGAAGCTATAAACGAAATTCTTTGTGCTATTCTTGCAATTTCTCTAAATATGAAATATTTTCACAAATAAATTCAATTCTAAAACTTATTCGTGTGTGTGTGTGTGTGTGTGTGTGTCTGTGTTGCTGGGGATTAAACCCAGGGCCTTGTGCATGCGAGGCAAGCACTCTACCAACTAAGCTATATCCCCAACCTCCTATCCTATTTTTATAAAAAATAACAGTGGTACCAACACAAAACATTGGTTTAAAAGGCAGAAATAGGGCTGGGGTTGTGGCTCAGTGGTAGAGTGCTTGCCTAGCATCTGCAAGGCACTGGTTTGATTCTCAGCACCACATATAAATAAATATATAAAATAAAGATGCATTGACAGCTATAAATAAATAAATAAATGGAGGGCTGGAATAAATCTAAGCAAATAAATCGTCTTTGCTACCTATGAAATTTGAAACTTTTTAGAATTAAGAGTACCTCATGTGGTGTGGATAAGCATTGAAGTATCCTTTCATACAGGTATGGTGGGCATGTGAACTGGGACAAGTTTTCAAAAGAACAATATGGGGCTGGGATTGTGGCTCAGTGGTAGAATGCTTGCCTAACGTGTGTGGGACACTGGGTTTGATCTTCAGCAAAAAAAGTGAATGAATGAATGAATGAATGAATGAATGAATGAATAGGTTGTGTCCATCTACAACTAAGAAAATATAAAAAAGAAAAATATGGGGCTAGGGTTGTAGCTCAATGGTAGAGCTCTTGCCTAGTATGTGTGAAGCACTGGGTTCAAATCTCAGCATCTTATATTAAAAAAAGAAAGAAAGATCCATTGACAATTAAAATATATATTAAAAAAAAACAATATGTCCATGATTAAATGATTTTAAAATGTTCATATCCTGAAAAAGACATCTGACCAAAACCTGCAATAAATACTCTTAAATGTAAAATATTAGTCTCTTTAACTATTAAAAACATGACAAGGACTTCTATTAATATATAATAAATTTATTATTAAATATTTTGGTGGGTCTAACCATCCCAGTAAAGTAAGAAAAAAATAAATAAGTAAAATACAGGGAATTGTAAAAAGGGATACAGAGCAGAATTTGCTGATATTATTGTCTACATGGAAAGTTCAAAGGAATTTATAAATAAATTATTAAAATTATAAATTTTTAGCAAGGTAGCTGAAACATAAGCTTAATAAATATCAATTTCGGGCTGGGGATGTGGCTCAAGCGGTAGCACACTCGCCTGGAATGCGTGCGGCCCGGGTTCGATCCTCAGCACCACATACAAACAAAGATGTTGTGTCTGCCGATAACTGAAAAATAAATATTTTTAAAGAAAGTCTTCACCTTTAAAAAAATAAATAAATAAATTTAATGCAGTTATATTTAAAAAATAAAACAAAAATAAATAAATATCAATTTGGAAATATATCAGTAAAAAGATAAAATGTAGTTTTTAAAATCATACAATAACAAAAAAAGACATTTAAGATTTAATAAGGTAAAGATATTCAAGACATATATTCACATATATATAGCTTTATTCAAAGGCATTGAAGAAAATCTAAATAAATCAAATTATCTAAATTTTAAGGCTATGATGATTCAATACTAAAGTTCTTAATTCTTTCCACAGTGATCCATACAGTCAATGAAATTCTAATCAAAACCCCAATAGGTTTTTCTTAGAAGTAAAACAAGCTGATTAAAAAACATATACAGAAAAGCAGAGTATACACAATACCTTTTTCCTATAAGGAGAAAAGAGTAAGAAGAAAAAAAAGAAAAGGAAGGTGGCTTGATTTTGACAGTAGGATCTGGAAGGATGAGGCCCTTATATATTCTGTAGAATATATTGAGGGTTATAACAGAGCTATGGAAATTAAGACAGGTGGTTTGGGCACCAAGGCTGACAAATTAGCCAGTTGAACAAATGTGTGAGCCCAGAATAAACCATACTTTAATATCCCTATACAGCTTCTTACAATCTTGAATAGAAGTCACAGTAACTTTCTATGATAAGTGGGATCGTGTTATTTCTCACTCAAAACCTTCTAAAGGCCTCCTATATTATTAAAAGTGAAAGTCAAAGTCCACCTAAGCCATAGGCCTTGCTCTCCCTTTCCCTATAATTTCCTACTAGTCTCTCCCTTGGCTCCCTTCACCCCAACCATGCTGATCTCCTTTCCCACACTTATTTCAGAAAATGTATCTTTATTCTGTGGAATCACAAATTTTTTAAAAGATTACTGTGACATTTAGAGAAAATCATCTTACAATTTGAGAAGAAGCCAAGTATTTATTCTA